TGGATGGATCCATTTCTTGTAAGTGCCCCTAAAAAACAAGCAAAGGTAGAAATTGCATTAGTGTTTTACTTTTAGTACAATGTAACATTAATGAAATGTGCATCTCTTCCCCTTCAAGGGGCAGAAATGCTTGCAGGGATCTGCCAAAATCAAAGCACTCTCGAGTCATTATTATTATGTACAGAGGTGTGCAGATCGATCAGCAATCATAATCGGTTAATTTCCGTGAAAATGTGTTTGATTGGTGATCGCTGATCACGGCCTCTTGTTGCAGATCACCTGTATCTCATTCGCAGCCTGCATGTGCAGCTGATCTACTCTTTCCGTCACACTGCGCAGACTTTTTAATTTTGCCAGATAACATGTTATCATTTATACCTAAAGTGAAAAAATAAAAGCCAATCCAGATGATCGGCAGAGATGGGCCCCATGGGTGATCGGTATCAGAATTGGAAGCAAAAAACCTGATCGGAGCATCCCTAGTACACACACTATATTCTTATTGTAAATTTAAAATATATTAATGTATATAAATCAACTACTGACATAAAGGTTCTATCATGGTCTTGTATATTTTGTTAATACTGTTTGAAATGCAAACAATATTACCTTCAAATTTTGTCAGCAATCAAATCTTTAAGTTCTTGAGAGCACAGTGAAAGAATACTATGTGAATTAAACCAAAAATTGAAGTCTCAGTTTTTAATCTTAAAAAAAAAAAAAGATTACTAAAAATGAACAAAAGGCATAAGACAACCAAAATTAACAAATGTTCAAGAAAAAAAGTGAATATAAAAACTGATCTTTACCATACAAAACATCAGAGACGCAGGTCCCGGAACTTGTTTCCTATGTCGGCCAAACAGGTTGAACTGGAGGGCCAATTCAGGGGACATGAGGAATCGCACAGCTTGTTGTACTGCATCATCTAAGGACCCTTCTCCAATTTCTGCAACCATGACAACCTTAAGTATAATGACAATTACAAGACAACATTTTAAAATCAGGACACATGATACATTTAGTTTTTATTAATTGATTTGTTATTCTTTCACAATAACAAATCAAAAGTAGCTTATATGCTTACTTTTATACATGGACAAAATGCTAATTGTTAATGTATGTATCAATTTAAGTCACAATAAATTTTGAAGGATTAGGAGGAAAGAGTAAAGCAAGGAGAACCAAATGGGTAAAAGACCTGAGAGCAGCTCAAATGACAACTAGGGAGACAGAAGATCTAGAGTTGTGTGTTACATAAGTCCCTGTTCCACATTACCTTCTATGTCGCTTTTCTGGAATATCATTATCTGTTTGAAGATCCGATGTTGCTTCTGCCCTTGCAAGCCTTTGTCGCGCTTCTCCATAGTACTCTTTAGAATTTTTAAAAAAAAAGTATTAAAACATTGGTAAATCTAAAGCTCCCATTTTCATTGACCAAACAAATGGCTAGTTGAGACCTAAACACCAGACTGAATACTTGTTAACTACAGTTAGTTTGTTTTTTTGCAGTCAAACTATGACAGAATAAAACGCTTTAAAATGTCACTTACACAATGAAACATGATTTTAAAATATTTACTACTATGCCTTCATTCCATTTAGAAAAAAGTTTTTATGCCAAATATACTGAAACCACATGGGCCCCATTTCGTGTTGCCCATTTCTGTCCCATTCTCAGTTAGCCCACAATAATGCTGAATAGAGTCTATACATTTGCCCAAATGGGCTGACAATATAGGTCCCATTTCAGGTTAAACATATGGGCCTCGTGTAGTTAGCCCAGACAAAACCCATGCCCATTCATCATTACCTATCTAGCCCACAACGATACGATTCAATGCAGTTTCATGAAAAAAAAAAAAAATAATAATAATAATTAAAAATGCACAATTAATGGATCCCAGCTATGCATGCTGGCTTAATTGGCTGCGAGAAAGATTGATAAAAACCCATGTACACAGAATGAAAGCGAAGTAGTTACTCTTTATAAATAATGTAAGTGGTTTTATCGTGTCAAGGTACTTTAAAAGCAACCTCCGCTAGCAACGTCATTAGTGAACCGATTTTATTCTGCCGCGTTGGCGCTCAAATTTACCGGTGAATGGCGCCGCAGCGTATTTGAAAATGATCTGGCCCAGAACAGTTTGAAATCGCTCTGCATCCAAATATTCTTACCTCAATAATGGCAGATGACTTATTGTGTGTGTTTTAACAATATAAAAAAAATCACCTAAAAGAAAAACAAAAACAAAAAAGAAGAAACAACTAATTAGGTCATTTTTGGGGTACTCCGGTCATCCGAACCATTACGAGCAGCACATTTTTTAACTAGCGATTTAAAATCTCTCCCTAAAATTTGATACAATGCAGACAAAACAGAGGTGTACTTACAGCTTCTTTAGTAGAAGGCCAGCCAACCTGCAGACTTCACGCCAACGGACTGATGAGACTACGTTTGATTTTGAAACCGCATATCCATCCGCAGTTAACAATTGTACGTTTTCCAAGAAACACAAGATTAATTTTGAGATGCTACATCGGTTTAACAAATGTAAAACCGATGTAGCACTCACAAATGTTCTCAATGAAAATAAATAAATATAGTCGTCCTTATTCAAATGTGCTTTGGAACTATTTTCTTTAGTGGAGGTGTAAAGTGTCTCTTCAATTCACCAACCTTTATTGGCAACGGTGCCAGAGAAAAAATGAACAAAAAGGTTATTGAAAAAAGATTCAGATATAAAAATAATCATTAATAGATAGAAATGTTAAGTTTTTTTTATTTTATGTATGCTGACAACTTGGAAAATGTTTACAGATGAAAAAACAGATGCTAAAAATTTTACTCTTGTCTTTCTCACTTGAGTTTTGTATGAATTCATTTTCTAAACATTTTGTAATATTTTTCACAATGATCTGATCTGAACTATTTCTCCAAATAAGAATTAAGTCCCTCTGTGAAAAAGCTGCAATGAACACTTTGGATGTCTGAACATCCTATTGATAATAAAATAAAATTAAATTAAATTTAAAAAAAGAAGCAAGGACAAAAGTCCACTCTGAACCATTACCTATTTTGAGTGAGCAGCAGAAGATTATGCATATTTAAAACAGATAATGTCACAAAAATGTTAGGACATCTGGACTGTTCTAGTGTAAAATAATAAAAAGAAAAATGCTAGGACTTCAAAGTGTAGCTTGAACAATACTGAACTGGTTTAAAAAATAAAGCATTGAAGCATATTTTGGTCTTCTGGAAGCCTAGTGTTATGTTGGCGTTAGTAAATGAGCCAGACACAGAAATCATGTAGTGAGCATGTTGGGTTCAAATACAATACGTCTTTATGACCTCCAAGACAAGGTCACCATCCAAGGAGAGCTTTTCAATTTGTAGAAAGAAAAGCTTATACAATTGCTTCAACAATGTACCTTTTATCAACTCCAATACAGGCCAGCTGAGTAACAGTTTCCTTAGCTAAAGGCCATCAATCTGACATCTCTGGTAATTTTTTTCAAAGTTTTTATAATCTTGCTCTTGCAGCTTTTGCTTTTGACATAGTGAAAAATTTGAAAGTGACAGGGTAACCACATTGTCTAATCAGATTTTAACAATTTTTTCCCATTACCCTACATAAAAACGGTATGGTGCCTACATACCATGCCCAGGTCCAACCCATGTACGGTCAGCCCATGCTTACCTCATGTGGGTTCAATGAGGTCAGCCCACATGGGCTTCCCATGTTGGGCCCATGATACTGAAACTACATGGGCCCCACATAGTGTTGCCCATTTCTGCCCCATCCCCAGTTAGCCCACATAAAAAAGGAATGGGGCCTACATACGCATGCCCAGGTCCAACCCATGTACGGTCAGCCCATGCTTACCTCATGTGGGTTCAATGAGGTCAGCCCACATGGGCTTCCTATGTTGGGCCCATGATACTGAAACTATATGGGCCCCACACATAGTGTTTCCCATTTCTGCCCCATTCACAGTTAGCCCACATTGCAGCTGAATGGGGCCCATACATTTAGCCCACATGGGCCAGCCCATATCGGTCCCATTTTCGGTTACCGTATCGGTCCCATATTGTCAGTTAGCCCAGATAAAACCCATGCCCACTCATAACCCATGTAAACCCAAAATAACCCATAAACCCAAATGGGGCCCACCCATACATGCTGGCTGGGAAAAATGTTAGAAGACATCCAGACTGGACTGGACTGTTCTAAAGTAATAAAAAGAAAAAAGTGTTAGAGGTTCAAAGTGTAGCTAGAACAATGCTGAACTGTTTTAAAAAATAAAGCATTAGCATCATTTTTAATGGCAGTATTCTAGTCTTCTGGAAGCCTAGTGTCATGTTGGTGTTAGTAAATGAGCCAGACACAGAAATCATGTAGTGAGCATGTTTTATGTCCAAATACAATACCCCTTTATGACCTCCAAGACGAGATCACCATCCAAGGAGAACTTTTCATTTTGTAGAAAGAAGAGCTTGTACAATTGATTCTACAATTAACCTTTTATCAACTCCAATACAGGCCAGCTGAGTAACAATTTCCTTAGCTAAAGGCCATCAATGTGACATCCCAGGTAAATTTTGTCCCAAGTTATTATAATCTTGTTGTTGGAGCTTTTCCTTTGGCATATTGTGAAAAGTTTGAAAGTGACAAGGTAACCACATTGTCTAATCAGAATTTAAATATTTTTTTTTTTCCATTACCTCACATCAAAAAGGACAAGGGCCTAAATACCCATGCCCAGGTCCAACCCATGTATATTTAGCCCATGCTTACCTCATGTGGGTTCAATGTGGTCAGCCCACATGGGTTTCCCTTGTTGGGCCCTTGATAATGAAACTGCATGGGCCCCACTTAGTGTTGCCCATTTCTATCCCATCCCCAGTTAGCCCACATAAAAAGGAATGGGGCCTACTGACCCATGCCCAGGTCCAACTCATGTATGTTTAGCCCATGCTCATCACATGTGGGTTCAATGTGGTCAGCACACATGGGCTTCCCATGTTGGGCCCAAGATACTGAAACCACATGGGCCCCACATAGTGTTGCCCATTTCTGCCCCATTCACAGTTAGCCCACATCACTGCTGAATGGGGCCCATACATTTAGCCCAAATGGGCCAGCCCATATGGGACCCATTTTCGGTGACCATATTGGTCCCATACAGTTAGCCCATATAAAATCCATGCCCACTCATAACCCATGTAGCCCACAACAAACCCAAGTGGGGCCCACCCAGGCATGCTGGGTGGGAAATAGTTCATAATGATTTTCATTCAGTCAGGACTTTACGCTGACTCTGGCCACATGCATCACATGTAGATTCTAGTAAAGCATTGATTA